TCCTTTATAAATTACCCAGTCTCAGGTATTTCTGTCATAGCAACACAAAACAGACTAAAACACCACCTCACACACATGAAGATCATTACCAAGTCACTCCTTACGTCTTTTACTCTCCACTGATAAGTAATTCCAGTTATTCTAACCTTTCTGCAGGAGTTTTGTGGCTTTTATATACACATCCTCCTTGAGGGAAAATTATACTCTTCACAACATTTCGGCCATCACTGAAAATTCAGCATCATAAACATATCTTACCATAATTTTAAAACATATTCTAGCCTAGATTTATTGTACTGGCTGCTATGTTCATTCCCAGCCAGTCAACTTCCAAATCCTTGGTTTGTCAGAAGTTCGGAAATGGATAATTTAACTTCCCATTTATACCTTCTATCTCATCATTGCCAGCTCTGGCCAAAGATATAATTTAAATTTAATTCACTTCAAGTGATTGAACAGGAAGAATAAAAACTATTTCCCCAAGCTAAAACCATAGTACTGTACACCTCCGAGCTTCCAAAATATTAACCAAAAACCAATGAAAATTTTATAGTTAAACCCAAAGCACATTAGTAATGTTACTAATCACACCCAGAATAATATATAATCATTATCCATATAGTACTGTTAAGAATACCCACATTAAGCTGAAGTTATCCTAGCTTCATTCTATAATCAAACAAAACTAACCCCAATTAAATCAATAATTCAGGGTCTACTAATTCAAGAATTTATACATCTACCTCTGTACATGATAATCCTACACAGAAAGGAAGAAAACTACCTCTCAGGTATCTAAGACTCAAAAGGCCCCGTAGAACAAATATCACCATTATCAGTCAGCCAAAATAACTAGAACTTTTCTCACTAACATCAATTGTTAATCATTAGAATCCCTTCTTTGGGTTAAGTCTTCTGAAAATTCCCAGGAAAATGGTAGTATCAATGAGATACTATAACAATTCATTCCTTCACAGTGCCTATGATACGACCTGAAATGGAAATCACGTGCCTATGAAATGGATTTCATATACCTATGAAAATCCTCATAGGAACCACCTTGGTCCAGGCCCCCTTATTTTATATCCAAATTACTTAAACTACCTTTCTTGTTTCTCTGCATGCAGGTTCTTCTCCTTCCAAACCATCACACACACCAGTTAGATCAGTCTTCTAAAACATTCCTCTCCCACTTAAAATACTGCTCTATGAAAAGCCAATAATAGACAAGATCTGCTAAACAAACTGATGATGTAAATACAGTAGATACTTACGAATATATGTTTTAGAAATAAATACATAGGTTTTAGGAATAAAAACCTGCAGACTATTAAAAGGCAGATACCTGTTACAATATTAAATGCAATATGACTAATCACTTTCTTTCCTGTGATGAAGTAGTTAAAACTAGTGTGGCCTTCATGAGTAATTACATCCACTAGAAAATGGAAGCACTAAATCCCTTTAAAACTGATCTATAACTCAGCACTTTCACTAAACCACCAATTTTTCACTAAAAGCACAGTAGTCTCAAAACAATTAACTGCCACTCTCACAAGTATCAAATCAATGTTCAGGCCGTTGAGCAGAAATATTTTCTAACTCAAGGCACTAATTTCTGTTAATTTCATAAAACTGTCAGATAATTAGTACTTACAATTTGCCAAACACTTCATAGCTGACAGCACCCAATGGGGAAGTTCTTCTGTAAGAAAAACAAAAATAAAAAGATATTCTATATAACTCCAGGAATTACATACATACCTGGTATCATAAGAATGTATTATTTGCTCAAATAATATGAAACACATCTGCTAATCACAAATCACCAAATTATGTATCAGAACATTTAAAAGATGGAAATCTTTCCTTAGCAGCAGTGTTATAACATGTGCCTGTATAAATCATGCCTACAAATTTTTCTAAGGACAAGATGTACCTTTTAAAGCTTTAGTGGAAAGAAAAAATTTGATAATTTGCTCTAAAGAAACAGAAAAAACAAATCAATTATCCTAAGAATTATAGAAGGAAAAGGAAAAATAGAAAAAGCCAAAAATATTAGTCATCAAACGCATTTGTGAAACAATTTCACCAAATACCACCCCCCCAAAAAAGGTAAATTCTGTAGATCCAACATAAGTATCATTTTGTATGTTTCCATTTTCAAACTTTTGTAGACCAAGAAAGTTCAACCAACATACTAACATTAGGCTATTAGTATTAGGTCAGCCTTAAAATACTAATAGTAACATGACTACAAAAAAATTCCCAGCTGAACTACCTGGTATAGATCTCTTCCCTCCTGACCCTGCTACAGACATCCCATGAGATGGAACAACACACAGCCTTCCACTTCCTCATCATCTCCACTTTCTATAAAACTGGGAGGACACTTGTTGAATTGAGTTACATCTAGTGAACCCGAGTCCTGTAAAACGCTCTCTTCTTTCTGAAGAATTCCCTTGATAAAATGAAAGATGACTAGTTATCTAACTGGTAACTAAAAGTATTAATTTGCTACACTCAGAGAATGTGGAAAGATTTTAGATGGATTTCAAAGGCTACACTCTCCTCATTCTATGGAAATTAATTTTCTAAGTTAATATTAACCTGACAACTCATGAAGTCATCACGAATCTATTTCTGTCTCTTGTTGTCCTCCATTTCTGATATAAAAGGCTATAAAAGGGGAAGTGTTTCAGGTTTCAGAGACAGGTTCTACTCCTGTCAGGAAATATAGCCCAGAAAAACCTCTTTCCCTCTCACAGCTGCTCAGGATACTTCTGGTATACTGTCTGCTGCCCAGGAGCCTCCAGCCCTAAATTTAATAGTATTGTATAAAAACCCCAAAAGTGTTATACCATCTTCCCACATCCAAAAAGGTCATTCTGATTCTAGCCAATTCCCAGCATCCAGGGTCTGAACTAAAGAAAGAACAAATCGAAGAGCCCATTCCATTCTGGTCCAACCCTTTCTCATAGGAAAAAGTTTTTTTTTTTTT